AAGCGCTCAAAATCAGGAGTTTTTGGTATCTCAAATCCCACAGCTTCTTTCATGATAGGAAAATATTCACGAAATGGAGCAAACAAGATGTCAACATAGCTGAGAGTGTCTTGTTGGAAGAATTCATGATTTGGTGACATTGCTGCAGTGAATTCTTTCAATCCCTCTAAGCATTTCTCTTTGGCTTCCTCTTGCTCTTTCTCTGTTAGCTTCAACATCATTCCAAACATGTTTGGGAGGATTTTATTAACAAGAAAGGCCCCCCACATGCGAGCATAAGCCCTCTGGTAGGGATCTTTAGGCATGAGTGAGACATCACTGTTGAAGGCCCCATCAATGTATTCAACACAAACATCACTTTCATAGACTGTATTTCCATTGTGAATAATGACTGGTACCAGGCCATTACGACTGATGGCCATCCATTCTGGTGTCTTGTTGTAAGGGTTTTGTTCAATGTATTCAAAATCGACTTTTTTTGCCAGCAAGGCTATATGAGCACGTTGTGCATAGGGGCAGAACCATGCAATGTATGCTTTAGGTTTAGAGTCTCCCATTTTTGGTGCAACCTGGAAATGATCAATTTTGAATTTAATATAAATCTTTTACAAGTGTTTTTAGACAAAAGGAAAAGGGGAAAATAACAATTTTTAGGTCTATCCATTGTTTCCTTGATATACCTGGGTCTGTATGGTTCTCTTATTGTAGTGTTGCAAAGGATAATGGGATGGCAGAGAAAAGCACTTTCCCATGAATCTTTGCAAACTACAAGCAAGATATGGACATTTTAAACCCTATGGCAACTATGGTAAAAAAACTCCATATTGGACAAATAGCAAATGACTATAAAGTAGTAAAGAAAATCTTCTAACTTGCACTTACACTTTGGAATCTGACATTGTCTGACATATTTTCCAACTTTTATCAAAATACTGACATTCATTATTGACCACTGTCTGAATTCAAAGGCTTAATACAATGAATGAAATTTGAGGCTAAAAAAAATTATGTACATTGAATTGTTCTAGGCCTGTGACACTAGGGCAATGAACAGTTTTTTCACTTTCCAATGCAATTTTTAAATTGCACAATTAAATTAAATTAATTAATTAACTAATTAATTAATTTTTGAATTAAAATTAACAATAATTAAAATGAAATAGTGATCTTTTTTATATTATTTATATTTATAGTTTATGTACAGCCTTTTGCAAAAATTATGAGAATTGTCTAAATATCTAAATATCATAATATCCATATCCATATATTGTCCGGAACACGCGGGTTTGCTAGAATAATTCATTGTTGACATCTAGAAAATGTTCAGAACTACGGATAAGTACGTCGCCAAAAAAAACTAAACAACAAAGACAAGGGACTAAGTGCATCGCGCGGGACCATGCACTTGATATTATGATATTTGTATATTTCAACAATTCTCATAATTTTTGCAAAAGGCTGTATAATTCTTATATTGCATATACAGTAATTGATTTAAGCTTTACATGGGCAATGATATAGCAATAGGTTGAATAGGTTATCTTTACAACCTTTTAATAAGTCCCGAGGTATTGAGTTCTCCGCACTTGGCGTCAAATTTATTCTTTTGAATTTTTTTCAATACAAAAGGAATTGAAAAGAATAAATTTGACGCCAAGTGGAAAGAACACAATACCTTGGGACTTATTAAAAGGGTGTATAGGTTATATAAATGTATTGTACACAATTTAGCCACAGGCAGCCCAAGCTGGTGATAAAATGATAATAATGTAGAGATCGCAAAAATTCAATCAAAACAACTCCAATTGAGCCCAAAATCAAAAAAGGGACAGATATAAGTTCAACTCCAGGTAGGAAAACTTTATTTCAAATATTTTTTTCAATTTATATATTATTATTATCATTTGTAGTGAATTTACCGGGGAATTTATCACCAGCTTGGGGTGCCTAGTGTATTCTATAGGTAAATTCATTGGGTGACGAGTGAATTCCGCGTTGAATTCACGAGTAAAGCCGATATGCTTTACTCGTGAATTCAACGCGGAATTCNGTTTGCATTATCATTTCATTTGAGAAAAGGGGGGTGACTAGTCACCCAATTCACCCCCCTCCCCTCTATCCGCCCCTGCTTCCTTTATTCAAATTGTCTAGCATGTAGTATGTTGAGCTGGAGCGCCCCTCAAGATATAAAAAGCTAGAGATTAGCCCCCCCCCCTAAAATCACTCATCCCCCTCTTAAACTTTCAGCTGCATCTGCCCTAATTGGCAGGCTACAACCCCATCTATCAAACGTCAAAGAAAAAGTGGAAATGACCTCATTTTTGTTCCAAAGAAAAACCACAATGTGTGGGAAAATAAAGTATTTTTGGTGTCGTTTTATTTTCGTGGAACGTTAAAGTTATGAAATTTTTGATAATTCAGAAATTGAACAATCTATCATAGGGGTCTAGGTCGAGTCTAGTATGACGTCTACTAAGAAACCAAAATTGTTTTCACATCGCTTGATATATCAACTAAACCGCCTGAGAATTTTTGAAAGTTGGCTTAAGGCGTTTATTTTAAAAGAAATGAATACCATCGAATCTTCACCATTTACTTTGAAAGGCTCCTTAGTAAGTCGTCACACATGCACCAGGCCTCTGATTTTAAAAAGAGAGCATTTTTCTGGCGGGAAATTCAAAATAACGTTAGACATTGGGAATTCATCCAATTCAAAATATTTTTGTGGCAAGTCTTACTATTTTAATAAGATAGATTATCCTAGAATTTGAAAAAAATGGAGTTCATTTGCACTTTTTTATAAGAGATACACCTGAAAAGTCTTTCATTTGCCCATATTAACAGTAGCAGCAGCTTTACGTTTTCGTTCAACAWACTGCAAGAAGTGCTCCTTTTTTTTCTGAGGATCCTGATAAGTAGCAGCCACAGCTGGATGCTTTGTAACAGCAGCTAACCATTTGTGGAAGCGCTCAAAATCAGGAGTTTTTGGTATCTCAAATCCCACAGCTTCTTTCATGATAGGAAAATATTCACGAAATGGAGCAARCAAGATGTCAACATAGCTGAGAGTGTCTTGTTGGAAGAATTCATGATTTGGTGACATTGCTGCAGTGAATTCTTTCAATCCCTCTAAGCATTTCTCTTTGGCTTGTTCTCTTTCCTCCTTTGTTGGCTTCATGGTCATTCCAAAGATGTGTGGAATGACCTTGTTACCAGAAAGGCCCCCCATATGCGAGCGTAAGCCCTCTGGTAGGGATCTTTAGGCATGAGTGAGACATCACTGTTGAAGGCTCCATCAATGTATTCAATACAAACATCACTTTCATAGACWGTATTTCCATTGTGAATAATGACTGGTACAAGTCCATTACGACTGATGGCCATCCATTCTGGTGTCTTGTTGTAAGGGTTTTGTTCAATGTATTCAAAATCGACTTTTTTTGCCAGCAAGGCTATATGAGCACGTTGTGCATAGGGGCAGAACCATGCAATGTATGCTTTTGGCTTAGAGTCTCCCATTTTTGGTGCAACCTGGAAATGATCAATTTTGAATTTAATATAAATCTTTTACAAGTGTTTTTAGACAAAAGGAAAAGGGGAAAATAACAATTTTTAGGTCTATCCATTGTTTCCTTGATATACCTGGGTCTGTATGGTTCTCTTATTGTAGTGTTGCAAAGGATAATGGGATGGCAGAGAAAAGAAGTATTTCCCATGAATCTTTGCAAACTACAAGCAAGATATGGGCATTTTAAACCGCCCCAATTGAGCCCAAAATAAAAAAGGAACAGATAGAAGTTCAACTCCAGGTAGGAAAACTTTATTTCAAATATTTTTTTTCAATTTATATTTAACAATTAGACCTCGAGGTCGAGTGGACTACGAGCTAATAGCCCATGAGGCCGAGTCCGCGAGGCCGAATGGGCTATTAGCTCGTAGTCCACGAGACCGAGAGGTCTAATTGTTTTAGTATAAACATACTAATCGGTCAAATAATGAAAACAAATTGAAATATCCTTAAAATAATTTATAATTTATTTATTTTGATTTTTCCGCGAGTGGTCTATCACAAATTAGACCATTAGTAGAGTAGCCAATCACAGCTCAGTATGAGTGATAGACCATTTGTATGTTAATACTAAATATTATTATTATTTGTAGTGAATTTACCGGGGAATTTATCACCAGCTTGGGGTGCCTAGTGTATTCTAACAAAAAAACTATTTCTTCAAATGTTGAATTCAGGTTTCTCACCGTTGAATTCCACTTGAAATACCCTCTCATCCGGTTGACGTGTTGACCAATCAACGAACGACTTTAAAATTGAGGTATGAGATTCTAACAAAAAAACTATTTCTTCAAATAAAATTTCCTTCAGAATCCCCAGGCCTGCTTTAATTGTAACATATTTACGAAGGAAAGAAATTATCTCCCAAGAGCAGAAGAAGAGAAAAGTAAACAAAGAGTTTAAAACGATTGTAGTCGACGAGCGGATTTCCAGTGACTTCGCCTTCTAGTGATTCCAAATAAAAATAAAGATTAAATACATCACAAACACTGCCACGGCGCGAAGCGCTTTTATTTTGCTCCAGTCTAAAAATACTTAGCGTGACTGTTCAAATAATCATCGCGTGTCCCTTTGAATAATTATGAACTCTCTGATTCACGCAATAATATCCAAAATATTCATCTTTACCTACCTCAAAAAGTCTCAAATGAAAGCCAGTTTTAAATAAAAAGAGAACTACGTAGAACTTGATTACCGTAGTCTCCTTCGCAGCCTCTCCTTTTGATGTTGACAGGAAGCCCGACAAAAGGGGAGGCTGCGAAGGAGACTAAAACTTGCAAAACTTGATCCAAACACAGCGAGTAGCAAGGATAGCGCAAACAACAAAAGCCACAATATCCATGTCACGCAATCAAATATAACTTGATTTAAAAATTCGTGTGTACTGATTGTATCGTGTGTGAGTTGGAAGTAAAGGTCACTGTATTTTCATGTGTCTGTATTTCAAGATCATTCCATTTTCAGTCAGGTTCCACTATATATTTTTGTTTGGACATTTTTAGTTTATTGGGCTTCCTGTGATGGTCACAGTCTCTCGCGGCATAGAGCGCAAAAAGTAGCATTGCTAGTTTTATTTGAGGTTTCTTCATCTTCTTCTGGAAATCAAATCGTCACAGGTAAAACTTTGATTTATTGTAAAGGGTCGAGAAAGGTTCTCAAATTTTCACACAATGCAAACTGCATGATAGAATAATACCCCGTATAACCGAACCACCTTCGAATTACCGTCTAGTTATGAGTAAAACCCCGGTAAAACACGTCCGCCTCTAACAGGTCGATCGACCTCTTCATCTGACACTGGGAAACAACCGYTGTAAATCACTCAATATTGAAGCTAATTGCCAGGAGCATAACAAAAATGCAAAGAAAAATACAACACACAGATAGAGATATTTATATTTTAATACTGAAATTTATGTATTTTGAAAAATTGTTAAAAACCATACAAACACCTACAATGCTTGGGATACCTGCGATCTTAGACTGTATCGATTTGTTAAAATTGTACGTGATGTAATTTTAAAMGTTTTTGGTCTCGCACTGTGCAAATCACAGTTTTTTTCCGACAACAAATCGCTGTCAAATTATCAACACTTGATGTGTAAATATTAAGAACGCTGAGTCATTCTGACATGCAGTTCTTGAACTACGGGATTCCTGTGTTGTACTGAAGTTCAACAAAAACATCCCATTTATTAATCTGACTTTTCCTTCATTTCAAACATCAATAGTTTAATTGCTAACGTAGTTGCTTCAAATATAAATTCTTTATTTTTTTGTTAGTGACAATAGTTGAAAAGATGGGAGACTCTAAGCCAAAAGCATACATTGCTTGGTTTTGCCCCTTTGCACAACGTGCTTGGATATCGCTGCTTGCAAAAAGAGTTGATTTTGAATACATTGAACAAAACCCTTACAACAAGACACCAGAATGGATGGCCATCAGTCGTAATGGACTTGTACCAGTCATTATTCACAATGGAAATACTGTCTATGAAAGTGATGTTTGTATTGAATACATTGATGGAGCCTTCAACAGTGATGTCTCACTCATGCCTAAAGATCCCTACCAGAGGGCTTAYGCTCGCATATGGGGGGCCTTTCTGGGTAACAAGGTCATTCCACACATCTTTGGAATGACYATGAAGCCAACAAAGGAGGAAAGAGAACAAGCCAAAGAGAAATGCTTAGAGGGATTGAAAGAATTCACTGCAGCAATGTCACCAGATCAYGAATACTTCCAACAAGACACTCTCAGCTATGTTGACATCATGCTTGCTCCATTTCGTGAATATTTTCCAGCTATGAAAGAAGCTGCAGGATTTGAAATACCCCAAACTCCTGAATTTGAGCGCTTTCACAAATGGTTAGCTGCTGTTACAAAGCATCCAGCTGTGGCTGCTACAGGACCTGATCCCAAGAAGTTTAAGGAGTTTGCTGAGAAGTATGTTCAGGCAAGGAGGGAAGGAAAAAAGCCACAGATGTAGGAAAAAATGAATGATATCAAATTTATTCCACATTGTTGCAAGTAAAACTATTTACCTAAAATTATACTGTAGTATGTAACCAATCAGAAGATAATAATCAAATAACTCAGCAAGAGCTGTTCATTTTTAATTGAAATATTGTTATTCAAATCATAATAGAATGTAATATCAACTCATCAATAAGGACATATTGTTTAAAAAATTGTAAATTTTCAAATAATTATAATTTTAATCATTTTTTTTTTCATTTATACAATTTTATTCATTGGATTTTGCAAAAATTGTAATGAATTTGCTAAAGAAGATTGCAAATACATCAAACTGCTTGTATTTCTCTTGATTATTTAGGGTTTACTCCATTTTACAGTTCCAAGCACCATCTTGAAAGGGAAAAAGTGTTTGCATCAAAGCAAGGCAGGAGTTGAGCCTGCCGTGATAGATACCGTATTTACCCATGTATAAGGYGCACTTTTTTCCAAAAAAATTGTTCCCAAATTGGGGTGCGGCTTATCTACGAGAAGACTTGTAAAAATGTCCGATAAAAACTAATTTGCATAAATTAGCATTTACGGTGCTACTTTACTGCAGACAGGACAGTGAGAACAGAAATTTTAATCCAAACTTCCCGTATTACTATAAGTTCTCCGAAAATCTAGCTCTGAGAAACACCAGTCAATAATTCAGACTGAAAAGTGTGTGGTTATTGAGCCAATGAAGAGAGAGYATTTTGAATCGTTTTGTCTTGGAGCATGAAATAGTAATTATACAACTCCAAATGTCAAACAATATTAATTAACTTAGAAAAAAAAAAGTTATTGCAAATATTGTAGTCATTTTAAAAAGTGTATTACATGTATAAAATAATGAACTTTGTTAAACTCCTTTTTTTCGAAAAAAGAAATCCAAACCAATATCAGGAAATAAACTCACATCTTATCCATGAGAATTGRCAGCCCTTTGTAAAGATGCAGGCAAGCTAAAAGTCCTGAGATGGTATATACACTGAGCTTCTTTTTGTATGAAAGGCACARGRAGACCAACATCAAAGGAAAGGTGAGAATCTAATGAACTCTTTCTACATAAAACAAGATGCCAAGTTAAAAGTTAATAAACAAACTTACTTCAATCTAATAATGTTACAGCTACAGCCACTTGTTATGAAGGGAAAATTAAATTTTTCAATTAAAGCTATCTATTTCATAACTTAAATTTGTTATGTGCTAGGATTTATCAGGTATATATTTACCCAAAAAACACCCAAAACATCCCCTGGGTTATAAAAGTTCTTTTTATATAGAAGCAAGCACAAACTGTTTACTTTTTGGATTACTTCAAAATATCAACAAAATGACTGGAGGTAGATTTCATTTCCTCCGTCCCTGACCCACAGTCTTTTGGTTTTAATTTGCAGTGCTATTGTTCCGTTTATAAGATAATTAAGAATTATGGCAAAAGAACATTAAGCAAAGCCAATATTAAAATAAACATTGTTTTCCTAAAAAAGAACACATTTATTTTACATCAATTATTACAACAAATATATGCATACGTGCAGATTTTAAGTGCATGCTTTTCTGATAAATTTAATAGCCTAACCATTTTCAAATGATTTTCTTAAAATATCTTTTTTAACCATTTGAAATCATGAGAATCTTACCATTTTCCCATGAAAAAAGGACTTTATGTTTGATCTTGAGACCAGTTGAATATGTGATTAAAGATCTTGAGGCTCCTGCATTAACCAGGAGAGTTGGCAGCCCTGTGCTTTCTACAATTCATGTGCATTTTATTTACCCTTTACCTTCTGCAATTGAAAATTGCCAAGTTTATGCAGTATATCAACCTACCTACTTTCAGTATACAATTAATAAATAACTCAAAATATGATCAATTGCTTTGTATATCATGTGTTTGATTTTATGTGCCTGAGTTAATTCAATTAATCTCCRACCCGTATCTTTGCATTAAGGAAGAGGTTGTCCCTTGCGGATTGCTTCAGCAACAAGTGACCTTGTCGTGTTGTGAGCATAACGTTGATAGACTTCAATCAATTTCTCTTCATCACAAAGTGTGTCAATGAAAGCTGGATGTCTCTTCACAGTTTCCCACCACTTATGGTAGCGTTCCATATCAGGAGTTTTAGGGATTTCAAATCCTCTGAAATGCTTTAAAATCCAATCTGTGCGTTGCGCAAATGGTGCAAACATAATGTCAACATAGCTGATAGTTCCTTGCTGGAAGTAGGAAAATTTGGGTGACATTGCTTTGGTGAATTCTTTTAAACCTTGGAGATATTTTTCTTTAGCTTCCTCTTGTTCATCTTTATTTTGCTTCAGCAACATTGCATAAAAGTTCGGAATKACTTTCTTTCCCARAAAATCTCCCCATATRCGAGCATAAGCCCTTTTAGCTGGGTCTTTAGGCATGAGTGAGACATCAGTGTTGAAGGCTTCATCGATGTATTCAATGCAAACACCACTTTCATAGATTGTGCTTCCTTCATGGAGTATAACTGGTACAAGTCCAGTTGGRCTGATTGACATCCATTCTGGTGTCTTGTTGTAAGGGTTTTGTTCAATATATTCAAATTTGACCTTTTTTGCTATTAAAGCAATCCATGCACGCTGTGCAAAGGGGCAGAACCATGCATTGTAAAACTTTGGMACAGTTTCCATAGTTACGTCTTCAGTTATTGCACTGTCAAGACATAAGAATGAATAAAGTCATTACTTTTCAATCTTTTATCTAGTATATGAACTTCAGTTTGGYATATCAAATAAGGCCCAGATCTAACAAAGAAATATTGAATGAGTATGGTAAACACCATCCAACATTAATTTTCTGTCATTATTATGGCATTTTCTTGTGTTTGATGTTGGATATTATCAAAATAAGCATCATAATTTAAATATTTCATGGATCATGGAATTCTGAAACAAATTATTCTTTCTAAACACCAGCCAACATTTCTTCTGCTTTCTTGTTTGAAGCATTTCTAAAAATCCATAAAAGTTGGATTCCAGAAGTGCTGACTAACTCTTATATTTTATCACTAGAAAACAATAAATTAACTTAAGTCTAATAGCAATATTACACTGACTTCGGTGTTGTAAACAATAGATTAAACTGCGTGAAAAAGAACTAACAAAATAGTGTTAAATAGCTACAAAAAGTGTAGATTAGAAAAGTTTGCACTTTTACAAACCTAATAACTTGATTTCAGCTTGACTTCAGCTTAAAATAAGATCCAACTATCTTACGTAACCTGTTTATAAAATGTTTGCAGTTCAGTGTTTGCATTCTAATAAGCTTAATTAAGCTTATAGGACAGTTACAAAACTTGTAAAAACACTATTTAAAAATTGATTCACCTATTCGCATATCATAATTTAACAAAATTTCTTACCAGATTCAAGATTTTGTTTGTAAACTTAAATTTCACTTCTCGGCGAACACAACAGAGCAGCGGTTAAATGTAATTGCACTCATGCGCGTTTGGCAAGGCTGTGATGAAAGGCGCCAAATTTGTTCGCAAGTTGCTTGAATCTTTTCACTCAGGCAGACTGTACTGTGATACATCCATTAATTTTGCAGGCTCAATGTTTTTAATCAGACTCTGTTTTCTTCAGTTTTCCTTGTATGAAATGTTTTTGATTTTTTCAAACCCTCACGCCCTCATTTTTAAATTTTAAATTTTAAATTTTAAAAATGAGTTTGGGCTGCCTGTGTCGCATAGGTCATTCGAAGCTCGCGGTATTTCACTGTTGGCGCTTGCGAACGAATTCTTATATATTTTCGTCCCGTAAAGGCCATGAATGGCATATTTATCTGTCCAATTTTATACGAGACTATATATTAATCTCACACTTTAATTGGAGATGAAAAGGCATGAATTTAAAGTCGAAATACCTCGTTATTTTGACAGATGCTCAAATCAAATCAAAAGCGTTCACGCTGAAGTCGTGCAATGGTGCTACAAGAAACTTACTTGACAGAATGGCCCAGAAAAATTGAAGGAAAACATGTAAATGTCATAGCAACTTTATCCAAATCTCAAGGTAAGAAATTTTAATATTTGCATTTCAGATATTAAATTGGGAAAATATTGACACAATTACGAATCGGCTGCTCTCTCTTGGAAAGGCGTCTCTGTTTATGATTATGCCCTAGAAAGCCCCCGACACCCGGTGAATACCGGGGAATTTAACGTTTGAGTGGTGTTAAAATGAAAGATTTCCCCCTGTTAAAATCCCCGCTACTGTCGGCTATTTTGGTCTAGTAGTGAATAACAAAACAGACACCTTTCAATCAAATTTTCTGTGATACACAGGGTTAGTTTGTACAATCCTGTGTACCTATTATTTGCGTACCACATGATGCTAAACCTTCGTTGGAACGAACTGCCCCGCTAGCCCCCGGGGGAGGAGGGCGGGGGTTTCAATTGACTAGTGCATTATGATGATTGCCAACATCAAAATGCAGTAAGATCATATTAAACCAGCAAGTACGTAATACCCATGACTACACTTGTTTGCTTCTTCAAACTCTGTCAAGGGCATTTCTGATATTCGTTTAAATAGCCCTTGTTTACAAAAGCCACAACTATCATTTTTCTTGTTTCTTAGAAGAAATGCTAGAAAATACTGAAAATGAGGAATTTCTTGCTTCTTAGAAGAAATGCTAAAAATACTGAAAATGAGGAATAAAACATTCAAAGCTGTACAATAAAACTGAATTAATTCATTATTCCAAGACAATTAATTTGTATAGGAAATACCACCGTTAGGCGTTAGAGAAGAATTAATGAAAAATTCCGCTCGTATTTGATGAAAGTGAGAATTAATGCCACACGAGTGGGACGTACGAGTGGTATTACTCACTTTTATCAAATACAAGCGGTATTTTTCATTCGAGAACAACGGTAGTATTTCCTTTTAATATCATACCTACATAAATGCTTTSATTCTATCGCATTTAGGGGCAGTCATGATAGCGCACGCAGATCATTCGCAAAGACATCTGGGCTAATTCGCGGTTCGTCAGCCAATCAACATCGAGAATTCTATAGGTTATTTTGTGCCGCTGACAAAACAGAYATAAAATAATTCCAGTTCTTAGGTATGGGTGTTGTCGCCCTGTAAGCCTGGTTGTTGGAATTTTTGGATAAAATCACCGTAGCTCAGAGAAATAGCATGAAAGAAACCACAACACTGAACGATCTGCACAATTTCGTGAAATGCCTACAAAGATCAAAATTCGAAGTGTTACTCAATCACATGTATCTCTTATTTTAAAACAGCCACTATTGTAAGACCGCAGAGCTACAAGTGGTTTAATAAACTGTTTGGTGGCCACTCGAGGCTTCGACCAATGTTCCATAGTCGATGAATTGGTCAAAGTTGAGTTTCAGTGAGAGCAAACAAGACAATGAATCTAGTACTATGTTATCTGAGAACTATTGTTCATCTAAAACTTTCATTTACATACGGATAGCACRCGTTTCGTTGTTTTTTCTGCGGTACTTTCCCGTCTTGAAGGCACGTTTCTCGTACCTTCTCGAACTCTCCCTCTGTCGTAACCGGAGACTCATCATAGTTTATACTTTCATGTGTTATACTTTCCTCTAACTCGGTTGGACTCTCAGGGTATTCGCCATTCAACGAATACATCGTATTCAGGGACTGTGGCAATATTTATCAGGAGAGGGGAGGTTGAGAATCCCTACGGGGGTGGGGGGGGGGGGTCTTATTTTATATGCTTAAAGAGGGGGGCAACGTCTAAAAGTAACTAGAACTTCAATTGGAAACTTTTCAGATTCGAAAACTTCTGAAGAAAAGTGTGCCGCGATTTGCAACATCTCTATATTATAAATAAATTCACGGGAAAKTTTGCGAAACTATTCAGTTTTGAATTCCCTTTCTTGCTTCAATCAAATATTTATTGTCTTCTTTGTGAACAGAGTTTTTGCATTACAATAGGATCTCTGCTGAATAAAAGAATTTATTACATGCCGTCGAGGCTAAGGCTGCAGAAGATCTCGCGGAAACCCGAGTTGGAACTGGCATATTTTTGGGACATATGTTTTCCCTTTTTAACAAATGATTGCTTTCAAGATATGGGCACTTTTGCGTAAGCTCTTATTTACAGGTATTTCATTTCGCTATTTTTTTACAAATCGTGAAATAAAAGACACGCGAGCATTAGTATTGGGTGCTAAGCATCCAACGGCAGCGCAGTTAAAGACATCCATAACATTTCAAAGACTCCTCCTATGTTAGGAAAGCCAGATTTTTCAAATCTTCTAAATGCTTCAAAAGCCTGTTTTGTAAGAAACCTACTAACAGGTGATAACTGTGTTGAATCAAGTGAAACTGAGCATTGGGTGAATTCCACGTAGTGGTTCTCGTTGTTCATAATTTGTAGACGCCACAGGCAGCTTTCTGTGTCATAAGTTCTTCAAGTACAGGTTTTTGATGTGTTCTTGTCCGATATCATGGATCACGGAACATTAGTTATAATGTCCTACAGGTCGTGGAATCGTTTATGGTTGGTACATTGTTGCTACGGGTTTCAAAGATGACTCGGACGTGATCCTGTTAAAATATGATGTAAATCTCACAATAGTTCGAGAAACGCAGGTTACATTAACAAGTGCAGAGACTCAAGCTAGTCACCACCAAGACAACTGCTTCCTTTACAAAGTAAGTATTCGTTTAACTTGTTTATTTACATAGGTGTGGCTGTTAGTTTTATTCCCGCAATGTGAGTGATAATATGCAATTAATATAGATTACCATCAGTGAATGCCACGTTTTGATTTTTTTTAGCAGTACAAACAAACACAGTTTTAATAAATGTATTGAAATAGATACATGATTTGAATTTCATCTCAATGAAAAGTTGTCATGATTTCTTTCAAGCACACTCGAGGCATCGTATGAGTCTAACTGAATTTAACAGACCGCCAAACGTCACTACAAACGTACCTTATTCGAATTTGGAACACAAGTATTTTGCGAGCATTAAATTTCGCGATTTTGAATAAAGGATAAATTTAGTGCATTCAATTTCGAGAAAATTATAAAGATCCTGACCTAAACTTACATTTTGATGACTGCACGAAAGATGTTTTAAAATATGTACAATATGTACAAGAAGAAGAAGTGAGTGATTCGGATGAAGAAATGAAAGATAAATAAACTGATGACAATTACCATGTCCCCGTAAACCCATTTAATCATCGATTAGAGCAATTATAGAAGTGTATTAAATTTTGCGTTTAATTTTCGCGGATCCTTTTTTTGCGAGGTCACCTTTCATTTCTCGTTTTTTTTATTTTAAATCGCGAAAATCTCGGAATTAAAGGCTCTTTCTATATAAAGGTACTATGTACAGCGGGGTTGTATCATGTCAGTGTGAAATAATACTCTTTGTTAACTATATATTATAGCATCACTCTAGCTGCCATCACTACCGTTGAAATGTGGGGAGTAATACTCTCTTGTGCTCTTCTCCACAATGTCTTCGCGACCGWGCCAGATCCTATTACAATTGAAGGGGGTAAAATCCAAGGGTTTGCAGAAACTTTAAAAAACAACCATGTTGTTCACAAGTACCTCGGCATTCGTTACGCTCGTGCAGAACGTTTTGAGAGACCTCGCCCTGTAAGAGAATCATGGAAAGGTGTTAAGGAGATGAAAACGTTTGGGAAAGTTTGTTACCAGTCTTTGGCTTTAACGAAGCCCAGTCGATTCAAACCAACAATCGAAGATATGGATGAAGATTGTTTAAACCTCAACGTGTATGTCCCTGCCGCCTCGAGCAGCAACCCAAGAGCTGTSATGTTTTGGATTCATGGAGGTGGATTTATAGCCAACTCTAACAGAATMTCTGATGGTAGTTATTTGGCAACATTAGGAGATGTTATTGTTGTTACCATCAATTACCGGCTAGGTGTATTGGGCTTTCTTCATCACAGACCAAGCGGTTTAAGAGGCAACTATGGCCTTTTTGACCAGCTAGAAGCCTTAAAGTGGGTGAATCGAAATATTGCAGCGTAAGTTGGATAAATTTGACTTTTAGTTTTACTTCTCGTAATAGTACTCCATTTTGACAAAGGTTTGCACAATTATTGGTTCGAGTAGCTGCGTTCTCCTACGCAACAAATATTCGTGATATTCTTGCTTCAGTTTTTGAATTAATAGTTTTGGAATAAATCTGGAACCAAAACCAAGACTGTGGTGATCTGATTTCTAACTATCTCTTTTTGTTTTGTTTCAGATTTGGAGGTGATCCAAATCGGGTGACAATATTTGNTCTCTAGATCAAGTACGCCTTTCAAATTTGGCCAGTTAACTCCTTTTTGCAGTATCTAACGTTTGCAAATGATAATTCTTTCTGAATTTGAATTCAGCGAGAATTATTTGACATCGATTTCCCGGTCATTCCTTGTTATTTTGCGACACTATGCCTACCGGTCCAAAATGGCGGACAAAACCGTCACCTCATCTATAGTACTCCATTTTGACAAAGGTTTGCACAATTATTGGTTCGAGTAGCTGCGTTCTCCTACGCAACAAATATTCGTGATATTCTTGCTTCAGTTTTTGAATTAATAGTTTTGGAATAAATCTGGAACCAAAACCAAGACTGTGGTGATCTGATTTCTAACTATCTCTTTTTGTTTTGTTTCAGATTTGGAGGTGATCCAAATCGGGTGACAATATTTGGTAACTCCGCAGGAGGTGCTAGTGTGTCATTTCTCTGCTTGTCACCATTGGCCCGCAACCTTTTTAAATACACGATTATGCAGTCCGGGGTGTCAAATCTCCCATTTGCCTATCAATTCTATAAAGACGATCCTAACTTGTTGTAAGTTGAAAGTTTGTGGTTCATGATCATCACTGTCGTCTCTTTTCTGCCTATCTTTGAACCAGATTGTTTGTTGAYCTTGCTTGATCACATCCACCGAGATATGTGCTTTTCCAAAACTGTTTTCATCAAATGTGAATAATAGCAATACTTCAATCTTTCTCTCTGTTTGTGTCCGTTTCCTTCTAGTCTTCACACAAAAGATTTACATTATAAAAATTGTAATAAACTGATTTAATGACTAAATTGAAAGCGAAAAACAGAAAGTACGTTGAATGTCATAGATAATACGTGCATGGTTGCATTTGAAAAAGAATGGTTCTCATTATGAACCCGCAAATCCATCATTGACAAGCGGWAWAAGAAAACAGCTTTACCAAAAACAAAATTGGGCAGGTAGATCGATGTGGTTGCTTTATAACTTTTGAAATCGATAGGTAAGCTTAAAAAGCAGTGCCTCATGAAAAAAGCGGCCTAAAATTAATAAATTTACAAAGTTTCAGAATAATCGCTTGAAAAATCGAGAAGATACAGTACTTAAACACACCCGAAAAATTTACAAAGAAATTCAATGCAACATGCATTTCTTTGTAAAATTTTGTGAATTTAAGAGGGCTTTATTTTGTCCTTGTGATTTTCGCACCTTAAGTGTGAGATTTCACACCCTTATTTGCGATTTTCTTGTTCCGAATTTTATATAGTGYTTAGTTATCTATGCCTTTTTAGAGAAAAAGATTTATAGCGTTGTTAATTTTTCTTATGTTTGGAYCCCATTTTAACCAGTTCTAATATAACCTTAATCACAAACTTTGTAAATGTACTAATTKTAGYCTSTTTTCTTCATGAGTTTCGTATTGATTTTTMACTAACTCCTCAATTTCGAATAGCGGCTAAGWACTTCTCCTTGAAATGAATGTGAGGACCTCATGGCACTTGATTTTCCGGAATTTATTTCCAAGGTTCTTTCTCCAGGAATAACCTCCTTCTAATTAAGCACTATATTTCATTTATTTCTATATCCGTGAAATGACCTWATTCTCACTGTACTTAATTTTAAAGGGAATCTTACAAGAAGAATTTGAAGTGCACCAACGAYCTTAGTGTRATTGATTGTTTAAAGTCCGTCCAACCTAGTGTCTTGTTCAGTGTACGAGCACCGCCTCTGGCAAATCCTGTAGTGGATGGAGAATACGTCACAGGTACTCTWATCCTATRRWTYSSYTWRSCYKRA